CCCCTCTGGCCTGGCGCCCACGATCCCGCCTGCCCGGCCCCGGCCGCGCCCCCTACCTCTTTCCGGGCCTCCCTCCCTCCTACCCTCCTCTCCGCGGCCCAGGACCCACGCGACCCCCACTCACGCGTGAAGTGGTTCAGACAGGCCGCGTCCACGATCTTGGCCCGAAACTTCATGGCGGAACCGGGCCGGCGCGGGGCGTCCGTCGGCGGCGGACTGAACTGAGTCCCTCCTTAAGCGTCCCGCCGGAAACGCCGCCGCGCCCATTGGTTCCGCCGGCTCGGCCCGGCCTACCTCGTGGGTGGGGTCACGCCCGGAGGAGGCGGGGTCTTCCGGTCGCGTCCCCGAAGGAGGGAGGTGGGTTTCAGGCCACGCCCCGGAGGAGGCGGGGCCTTCAGGCCGCGCCCCCGGGAGACGGCGCGTCAGCTCCTGCAGACCCAGGAGTCCTGCACCTGCCGCAGGTGGGAGACGTGGTTCTGAGGGTTCACTTTGAAGGAACTTTGTGACGCCTATTCCCATTCCGTTTTAGAGCACCAAGGATAAAGCCTAGCCTTTAGTTATAAAGTGCTGAGTTGTCACTTAAACGTGCACCTCGCTGCCGCGGGGCCCCTCAGAACCCCTCCTGCTCGGCAGGTGGTGCTGCTGCCGCGCACCTGCTGGATGATGGCTTTACGCCGTCCCACGTTGAAAAGGTTAAGTCGCGGTGAGGGCAGGATGTTTACAGAGCACCGGTGTGAAGTGATGAGAACTCCGCGGGTTTGTCTCCGGACGAACCAGAGCCTGTTAAAGCGCGTACAGCACGAATGATGCAGATGACGCAGAATGTTCAAAAAGCAAAACGGGAAACAGAGCTGGGGTTTTCAGAGGCAAGATTATCCGTGTTAGGAATGTTCTATTTTCAGCGTGCTTTGCGCATGGAAACCTGCTTTTACCTTGACGTATAGAATCACGATAGGAAAAATAATAATAGAGTATTTTAAAGGCCCCAAATACAAAAATTACAAACAATTCTGCCTATTTTGAGACTGTCGTATGAAGATAAAGTCCAATCTACGTTGTTACATACAGGTGTTAGCCAAACCAAATGCGACTGATGTCACGTTTAAATTTTTTATTAACAAAACATGCTTTTTCATTACCTCATAAATTAATTTTAAGATACATAAATCATTAAATGAGGTGGTTGCTATGGAGGTCATGAAAATGATTAAAAACTATCTCAATAAGCTTTGTAAACGATATTTCATAATATATTGATATTTACTTTAAATCACTTAATTTTTCACCATTAAGAATGATTTTTTTAGGCATAACAATATCGGTGGTGTTGGGTGTTGAGGGGAAAATTGGGCATAGATGACAGCTGTTTTGTTCGAGAGTAAAAAAATTTAAAACTCTTTGGGAATAGTAACAAAATTATTTTTTAACTTCCTAAGATAGATGATTATACATTCTGCCTAGACAAAGACCTGAATGACATGGGGACTTTTGATCCAACAAATACAAAATTAAGCTCTAAGTCTCTTTTCTTGAAAGAGAATAGGAATCTTATGTTTTCTTGCGGTCTTCTTAAATAGGTTTAGCAAATTAATGATCCAACAATTTCAGTATTGGTAATTACGTACAGTGACGCTACTTGCCTGCATTTTTTCCCAGGTGATTTGGAAGCAGGGAATGGGGTTGCTAGCACTCTCTAGACGCCTGTGTGCCGGTGCAACAAATATTCATATTGTTATTGGTCTAGGTAATAAATTGCCTTCTAATTAAAAAAACGGGCAAACCTCAGGGATTAGTAATTCGGGATGATCTGCGGAGCAGGGTTGGTTTTATTCATTACGTTTGCTGTGCAGGGAAATGCCCTTGTCTTGAAAACGGAAATGCGATGAGAGTGACGCCTAGAAAACCTCAGGCAGGGTGTGGTGTTGGGAGGAAGGGACTGACCTTTCTATAGCGGCAAAGACGTGACCTCTGCCTAGTTAAGCATCGTGTGTTTACTGCTGTCACCCAAAGCTGCAGCCGTCAGTGTCTGTGCGCACCGGCTCACCCCTCCAGTGCCGGGGAAGACAGTTTGCAGCCCTGTTGTTGCCAGCTGGTGTTGGAAGCATCACCCAGGGAAGAGAGACGGCACAGCTCAGGGGTTCTGCATCAGATCCAACAGGTGATCTCTGTCTTTGGTTTTTTCTTTTACATCAGAAAACTGTGAAACAGGAGAAAGCACGTTGCAGAGGTGATTGGAGGGGGTGGGGGTGCACAGAGACTGGCCCGTGAGAGCAGACCACGCAGTCTGTTCAGGGTCCGCCACCATCACTTAGCAGAGACCGGTGGGAAAGCAGAGGGGGTGCCCGATGGAGGCGGTGGTCTGGGGAAGATGGAGAGACACCAGCTAGCAGTGGGGTGTCCCGTGTGACTGGGTGGGGAGCACGCTTGGGTCTCTCTGCTGGATCCAGGTTCTCAGTAGGGACGAAAATGAGGAAAGCTGTCGGTTTCTTAACTGGCCACATGGGGCCGACTGCTGTGAGGTGGCGGGGAAGTTGTGTGACTTCCGGACTGGTTTCTGGAGACGGAGGTCTGGCTTCCTACAACTCTGACTTCATTTAATTTATATTGAGGTATATTCGATTTCCAATGTTGTGTTAATTTCTGGTGTAAAGCATGGTGATTCAGTTATGCATGTGTATCTGTCCATCTATCCATCCATCCATCCATCCTATTATCTATCTATCTATCTATCTAATCTTTTTCTATTCTTTTGCATTATGGGACATGACAAGGTAGTGAAAATCCTGGCTGGCGTCCCGGGCTGGTTGCTGCAGGCGGTGGGTTGGAGTTCTAGCACTGACCGTGGTCTGGCACCGTCTGTGTGTTCAGCCTCTTAGGCTGCCAGCCCTCAGCTGGGCGTATGCGAAGCTGCCTGTGCTGTGTGCACTGTGTTCCCATAGATATAAACCCATTTCTGAATATCGCAATATTTCTTGTATCAGAAGTAGACTCTTGTCTGTTCCACTGGTCTGTCAACGCTGCTGTCCACAGTGTATTGTTTTATATCATGATTCTGGGACACCAGCTCCAATGCATGAGGTTTCCTCCCCGCACACCAAGCGATTCTCCAGCACCCGCTGGGTGTCCTACAATTCAAGACCAACACGATGTTCCTGGGGGTCGTGTCAGACCACACAGGTCCCACCAGACTGTCCCCCCACCACCGACTTCAGAAGACAGTCAAAGGTCCAGGATATCACCTGTGCTTCTGACCAACTGGCTATAAACTGAGGTGCCCGTGGTCCCCTCCTTGGATTTCCTTATTTTGCCAGAGCAGCTCTCAGGACTCGGAGAAACACTTTACCTACTAGATGACTGGTTTATTATGAAAAGCTAGAACCCAGGAACAGACAGAAGAGATGAACAGAACCAAGGTCTGGGGAGGGCATCAAACTTCTGTGCGCTCCCAGTGCCCCCTAATCTCCACGTGTTCACTCACGAATCTCCGGGAGCCCCGTCCTTTTGGGGTTTTGTGCAGGCTTCTTCACATAGCACGACTGACTCTCTCACTTGATTGACTAATCATTAGCCATTGGCAAGCCGTGCAACCTCCAGCTCCTCTCCCCTGCCCGGAGGTCAAGGTTGGGGCAGAGAGTTCCCACCCTCCGATGGCTGGCTATTTCTCCAGCAACCAGCCCCCAGGCTGTGCAAATGTCACCTCATTCACATGACAAAAGACATCTTGATCGGTCTTCCCACTTCGGAAATCTGGAAATCCGTAGCATTCTAGGAGCTGTGTGCCAGAAACTGGGAAGAAAACCATATATGTATCTCTTATTGTAACTCGAAATGTGACAGTGATAGAGCCATTTACCTTTGTTGATTGTCTCTTTCAGAGGCTCCCTGGCTTCCTGTTGAGTTTATATTTCCAGGAGGAACTTTAGAGTCAATTTGGTTTAACAGACAACGCTTCGGTCTCTTAGTATAGGTTTTAAAAACTTTATAAAATTGAGAATATCAAACATAGATAAATGTAGACGAAACAGTATGACATGAATCTGTTACTGAACCGAAGTTTGTGTGCTCGGCACCCAGGGAGGCTAAACAAACCTGCACGTCGGAGTTTGGAGCAGAGAAAGGTTTATTGCTGGGCCGAAAGGAGGGTGTGCTCAAAAAACCCGAACTCCCTGATGGTTTTCAGGGGGAAAATTATTTTTTTGATTCAATACAATGTATTCTAGATCTGTAAAGTCAATTTCCTCAAATCTAAGCCCTGTGAAGATTTGGTTTTTTTTTTTTTTACAAACATCATTTAAGTCAAAACAAAGTCACATTCTTTCTCCCAAACTTATTTTTCAGTTGTTAACGTAATGGATGGTCATTAAATAAATGGAAAGTAATATAGAAAAAGAAAACACATTGTCCATTGTCTCATCCACCTTCTTTCCTAATTTAAGGCTCTAAAAATGCAATCGTATCTCTGCTGTTTATAGTCAATAAATATAAAGTTTTTATAGGCGAAATTTGGGGTGAGATCTGCAGGGCGTGACTGTCTTCTGATTGGTTGGTGGTGAGGTGATGGGGTGGAGCTCCTGGAATCCTGTGCTCAGCCTGAAGTTACCATCCTCCACTGATAAACAACTGTTTGAACCTGCTCTTTGGGACGCAGGGAGGGTCGAGGAGGCTGCATGAAGCCCATTTTCTACAAACAAGAAATGGGGACCCAGAAAGATTTGGACCACGGAGCACCTCATAGGGTCCTGCTCCGTTCCAAACCCTGGGGACCAACACTTACCTCCAATGATCATTTCACAGCCAGTCTTCTTCATTGATCCCCACCCCCTCCATTTCCTCCTCATATGATTTTGGAACACATCTCAGGGATATCGTGTAATTTGTAAACATTTAAATGTACACACCTAAACAATAAGAATTCTTCATTGCAGCAAAATCATAATATCCTTGCCACACAGGCACCTAAACATTGTTTTCAACAACAATTCCTTAATATTCCATCATTGTCTCATAAATCCCATACTTTTCTTTTCTGTTTTTTTTTAATTCAGATCAAGTTGAATTTATAGATCAATTTAGGGAGGACTGACTAATTGACAGTGGAGTTTCCAGAACCCCAGTATGTCTTTCCATTTTCATCTCCTGTAACCAAGCAGGACCCTCGGGGGTCTTCCAGGCACAGACCCCTCCCTGTACCCTCTGCTTTAGCTCCTCTCCCAGGTTCCCAGGTCGCGGTATCTGATGCACATATTCCTAAGTTGTCTTACAGACGCCCAAACCCCCACCCAATGGAAGACGATAACAGCCTGTTGACCATGAGCACATGGCCCCCAGGCCTACAGGAGTCTAAGGATGGATAATGTTAACCCTGTGACAGCTCCCTGTTACCACACCGTCAGCCAATCAGAGAACTGTGCAGGAGCTGATCACTTACGTTGTGAGACCCCCTCCCTCACCTGGGCTTTAGAAGTGCTTTCCTGGATCCCCTCGGGGAGTCCGAGTGTTTCCAGCATGAGTTGCCCGCTCTCCTCGCTGGGCGCCTGCAATAAACGCTGAACTTTCCTTCACCGCAGCCCGGAGTCAGCAGATTGGCTTTTCTTCGCACGGGCGACCCAGGTTTGGTTCAGTACATCTCCACTGCTCTGTGGTTGACTCTTCATACAGTTTAAGTCTTTGCTTTCTGATAATCTTTTTTGTGGGCTTTGTAAATTACATCCTGTCACTGGTGGTTGTTTGCCTTTATGAATGGTTTTGATTTATATTGATAATTTTGTATCCATCTTTGTTTATAATGTGTTTTTAAATTGACTTTACTGAATTGCAAGAACGTCATCAAATCACCTGCAAATTAGCCACGGTTAGACTTCCTCACTAATTTCCACCTCTGATTCCTTTTGCTTATCTAATTGCATTGGCGAGTTTACCTAAATCATGTTAAATAACAGTGGTGCCAGCAGACATCCATGCCTGGTGTGGATGAACAGATAAATGAAGGCAGAGACGCTATTATGGAGGAAGACTGTTGAAAAATACACCATCTTTGTGTAAACACAAAATCATTTTTCAGTGCTTCACCGACGCGATCCATCCTTAGAAGCTGAACTAACATGGAGAGATTGAATTTACTTTCTTATTTTTTATTAGTAAAATGTATTCATTTTTTTACAGGCAGGTAGGAACCACTTTGCGGTTTCTCTTCCACTCCTGAGTTTTGGTTCCCACGGGTGTGGTGCAGTCTGAGGAATCGGGATACTTGAATACTCTCCGGTCACGACCTTCCACACCAGTTCTCCTAGGTGTGATCTCTCGGGGTACCGTGAACCCTGAATCTGTACAAACAGGTATACTTCACGTGTCCCCAGTTGCTGAGGATTTTAAGTTTCACACATAAGAAGAATTCGGAAACTTTGTGCTGAAAATTCAGAGAAGATTAAAATTAATGCCTTATCCGAGAAATCACCTGAAAGAATCCCAAATAGTGCTAATGCGATGAACAATTAAAATGCTTTTCTTTCCTTCCTAACTCGGGGACTTTCAAATACCAGTCTAGTGAATGGCTTACAGGGCTACTGTAGGTGAAGGGCTCAGAATAAGACAAATGTAGGGGGGAGATACTATGGTGGTCGAGACACTCAGGTGCCTCTCACGGACACTGCCACCCTCCAGAGTGCTCCTAGCTGGCCGTCCGGGGAGGGAGGGAGGGGGAGACAAGGATATACAACCAAACGTGAAACTCTACAAGGACATTCATTGGTAACACGTCTGTAGTTCTCAGCTTAGGCTTCCTCACCACTGGCCAAGAAGTATTCTAACACACTGGTTTTTACGTGGTTGGAGACGCCATCCACATCTCTTCATCACTTCCTGGGACTGATGAGAAATAATGAAATATAGTTCACACGCCCTGATGCCCTGATTCAGGGGTTCATACGTGACCGGTTGGTGATGTTTTCCGATCGAGTTAGGAAGAGAAAGTTTGCTTATGTTACCTGGCATTGAATATTTATTCTCTGGAGTTCCTCTCTGCCTCCAACCACCTCATTTTGTGCCATCGTCCCCATTCCCTTTACTCGAGGAAGATGGGAGTGACCCTCAGACTCAGTGTTATCCAGGACATCTCAAAAGTGGGATAAGGACTGAGAAAGGGGGTATGTGAAAATACATGATGAAGGATTTGGCTTAGAAACCACTGCTGTACGTGCCTCTGTTTTGCATTAAAATTCACGTACCTGGTGGGAGCTGAGAACTGAGGTTCACATAAGCCTCGCCTACTCATGCTTTTGTCATGATTATCCTCACGCCCCACGTTGCATGAAGCCACCCCAGCAAACCCCTCTTGGGGGCGGGAACCCCCGGCGTCCAGCCTGTTCCGAGGCTCTCGTTACCTGGAGCTCAAATGTTTGGACGGTGCCTCCTGTTCTGCTGTACAGAAACTGACCGAGGAAAACTTCTTCTCCTTCACATTGTTTCATGATGCCCTAGAGAGAAAGCGACAGAGATGGAGGCTGTGATAGTGGGTGTCGGGTCAGAATAAGATACAGGCAAGTGTCTGAGGAGCAACGATTCTGCAGGCATTTTTGGGTGCCCGCCAGGGGCGCCGTGCTGTGCTGGGTTCGTACCACCCTGTGAAACCGAAAGATGCTTCACGACGGGGGGTCTGTGAGGTGAGAAGCAGGGAAAAAGGATGTGAGGGAGCAGAAGGTGGAACAAAACTGAACTGTCCTCCACGTCCGTCAATATCTCCAGCGGCCGGAGAGGAGGGGCTGCATCCGCGAAAGAAGACATTTAGACTCTAAAGAGAGGAGCATTCTGCAGGAGAAAAAGTCTTCGAAAGAATAATGATGGCGGAAGTGGAAAATTCAACACGGGGTTTAAAATAGACATTGGCAAAAATATTTCAAAAGGCAGAACAAAAACTAGAGAAGACAAATAAGGGACAAAAGACTTTTTTAAATAACGGGTAAGTCACACTTGTGGAAAGCGATGACACCCTTGATCACAGCTGGGCGTCAGGCCTGGCCAGGAACTCAGCTGGACAGATGGACACAGGGCTCTGGAGGGAGAGCTTCAAACAAGAAAAAAAATATAAATTATCTGACATGAATGAGCATAATAAGAGGGTGTTTGCGCTACTGAAGAACAGGGTAGGAATGTTTTCGTGGTAGGAATGTAGAAAACTAAGCAAATTAAATTAGCATGCGTCAGTCATTTTAACAATAAAAACAATAAAAAATTTACATGAAGAAAATAGTATTCAGGGACACTATACGACTCAGCTTCGCAGAGAAAACACTGAATACTGGCTGAAGCTGAGAGGCACTGTCTAGCAGCGTCTCAGAGGAAAAAACACAGATTCATCACATGACCCAGCAGTCCCACTCCCAGGAGCAAATCCAGGAGAAATGAGAAATTCTGGAAATGTCCACACGATAACTGCTACCCAACTGCTCACAGCAGCATCAAAGGAGTCAAAAGAGTGGGAGCATCTCATGCATCCTTCAGCTGCTGAAAAGGTAAATAAAATGTGGTATCTATGTACTAAAATATTATCGAGCAATTAAAAAAAAATGAAGTGCTGACAGGTTGTAACATGCATGAATCTTGAAAACATGCCAAGTGAAAGGAAGCCGTTCCCAAATACCACGGGTCACATACTTCATACGAAATATCCAAAATAGGCAAATCATTGCTATGTATGCCATAAACAAGGACCTGCTGCAGAGCACAGGGAGCTACGTTCAATTTCTTGTGGGAACATATCATGGAAAAGAATCAAAAAGGAAAAATATAAATGTATGTGTATGTGTGATTGAATTGCTTTGCTGTACACCTGAAACTAGCATTGTACATTAACCACACTGCAACAAAATTAAAATTAACAAAAAAAGAAGCACACTATAAAAAAAGTGGATTAGTGGTTGTCAGGGGCTGGGGGAGTGGGAGGTGACAACTGAGAGGTGCAGGGTTTCCTTGGGGAGCAGTAAAAATACTGTCTAAAATCCATCGTGGTGATGGATGCCAGCTCTGTGAATATAGCAGTAGCCACTGAAGTGGATACTTCGAGTGACTGAATTGCTGGTGTGTGAATTAATTTCTCAGTGACACAAACGGTTAGCGGCACAGTTCAGGTGAGACCCCAGCTCCCGACTCCCAGCCAACCACCCATCGTCACCCACGCCGAGCAGAGATTTAGACAGCTTCTCACATAGACGGAGAATTCCTTGGGTGCGCTGGAGGTGTTCCCCGAGGGGGACACCTTCTCTGAGATGTGCTCCATGGTGACCGCGGTCGGCATGATCTTCCGGGCGAGCTTGATGAGGGCGTGGCCCTGGGAACCTGGAAAGGCCCAGCACTTTCCAGGGTGAACGTCCGGCTGGAGAGAAAACACCGCGTTACTCTCTTATCTGGTTGTAGAAATCCACCCCTACAGCGTTGGTCAGCTGATTGCTACTGACTGCAGGGCACGCTCATCCTAGAATATGAACACGTGGCGTCTATCAAACAGGAAAGGTGCCGGGATGCCCAGAGGTCTGGTGGTTCTCCAGACCACGATCAGAGCCCTTTATTACATGAGTATGTTTTCTCTCGTTGCTCTGACTAGACTGAGCTGCAAGAGGCAGCTGGTTGTTATGAGTGGGGATGATAGTGGTGAGGATGGTGATGGTGGTAAGGATGGTGGTGGTGATGGTGGTGAGGATGGTGATGGTGGTGGTGAGGATGGTGGTGGTGAGGATGGTGGTGGTGAGGATGGTGGTGGAGGTGGTGGTGATGGTGGTGAAGATGGTGGTGATGGTGGTAGTGAGGATGGTGATGATGGTGGTGGTGAGGATGGTGATGATGGTGGTGGTGAGGATAGTGAGGATGATGATGGTTTTGGAGATGACAGCTGTGGTGACAGCAATACTGGCCCTGATGGTAAGGAAGAAAATGACGTCCACTGTTTTCTCGATCTCGGCTGCCCCCGGCATGAGAGCTATAGGCTCACCCCTGAAGGTATTTCTAAATTGGGAACTACATTCAGGAATGAGGATTCCAGCTGAGAAGTGCTCTACCGCCAGAGGATATCTGGTGCCTTTTGAGTTGACCTGACACGTTAGTGGAAATCTCACTTGGGAGTGCCTCCGCCTGTCACTGGACTTTATAAGGTGTGTTGACCTGAACAGCACGTGGCCCAGTCCTGGCCCTCAGGGGTCGGGCACCTTCGACCGGTGTTTGTTGAGTGACTGAAGTTTTCAACGGAAAAGGAAACCACAGAATCAATGTGAAGAAAAGACATGGAATGTGTATGTCCCGTCTGAGAAGTACGTGATCTACATCACTGACTTAAAATAACAGCTAATTATTAATTAATTAACTGATCACGTTTGCTACCCGTGAAATAGGAAGTAACTGCTGTAGTTTGGTGACTATAAGGGTGCAAGGCGATGGTCTCAGGTTCTGTGGCCAGTTCGGAGTCGCCTCCACTGCAGACGATATTTTCATGCTGAGTAATAGGAACCAGATCCCAAAATAGAAGCAGGTTATTCTTAATCTAGCTTCTACCTGTAGAATCACGTCTGGAGGCATCTCATAGTTCAAGAACCCAATCCCGTGCCAGTACAGTTTTGCTTTACTGTTTTTATAACTTTCTGAGGTCCCGGCTTCAATGACGGAGGCTCCTAAAATTAGAAAAACAATTTTTAACATTAAAAAAAGAAACCACACAATTCAAAACACAGCACTTAGATTTGAATGTTGGAAAACCATCACTGGGCAAATGACAAAGTTACAAGTAAAACTCATACTAGGGAACTGGTAGGAAACGTTAGGACATGCAGCTTTAATTACCAGTGAAATGTTGTCACTTTGAGAAAACCGTGCTTGCTCCCTGTGGTTTCACAACATCTCTGAAACTGGTGTTAGGATAAAAAGTTGAATTCTGGAGCCCCTGATTTAGAGATGGAACTTTCATGTGAATTGTGTTTATTGCCTAAAGAGACAGACGCGTCCCCATAGTTTAACAGCCCATGTGATAAAGGAAGCTTTTATGTCAGCCCAGTTCACTCCAGAACAAAAGCTGAAAACCCAACAGTGTCAGCAGTGTGCTAACAAGTTGTATTCACAACAGCATTTCTGCAGTTGGACGGAGCTTAATTTTAATCAAAGAAATATAAAATATTCTCGTCAAATGTCATCCCCTCGGGTTTCTGCATTTCAGCTGTAAAACGTATTTTATGTACGAAAAGTAAAGAGAATGCAAATCAGTTCCTTCTGGACGCCACAACCCAACATGGAAAAGACACGTGCCTGGCTCAGTGTCACACTACCGGTGCCTTTTCTAAGATGACACGATTGAAAATAGTGGATGTGCACCCAGGGCGGTGGGGACTTAGCAAGTAGACCAATACGAGACTCCCAGTTAATTTTTAATTTTAGATAAATGATGAATAATTTTTTGGAACTAGTATGTCCCATACAGTATTTGGGACATACACGTATACTGAAAAATTGTTGCTTGTTTGCCTGAAATTCAAATTTAACTGGGCAGCTTTTATTTTATCTGGCAACCCTGTGAGCACCTTATTTTTGTAAATTAGCTTCATTTTTTAATTGTATTTAATTATTTTATTTTGGCGGGGGGGGGGAGGAATTAGGTTTATTTTTAGAGGAGGCACCGGGGGAGTGAACCCAGGACCTCATGCATGCTAGGCATGCGCTCTACCACCTGAGCTATACCCTCGCCCCACCTTATTTTTGAATCCTGATACTGTCCGCTCAGTCAGCCCATATTCCTACTCACCGGACTGGCTGGACAGGAATTATGCCTTCACGTGCAAACGTGGAGACTGACGCCCCCAATCATAATCTGTTCAAGGAAAATTTTAACTGTGGCATGTGGGGTTCTTTAAGGAATTCAAATTCACTGTCCTCATCCTCGTTTTTCAGTTTTTAAATCGGCTTTGTTCAGACACACAGGCTATACGGTTCACCCACGTTAACTGTGCAATTCAGTGTTTCTTTTGGCATAGTCACAAAGTTGCATAACCATGACCGCAGTCGATACTGGGACGTGTTCAGTCCGCCCTAGCACTTGGCCGTCGCTCCGAGCTGCCCCCCCAGCCCCCACCCCACAGAAAAGATAAATGAGATACAGGGATGTCATGCACAGCGCCAGGAATGTAACCAGTATTTTCTGTAGACTCACTTTCAATGGAGTATAATTTATAAAAAGTCCCATGACTGTTGTACACCTGAAACAGTGATTATAAATTAAATGGACTTGAATAAAAAAAAATTAGGGGGCTCCCAGTGGGAAAAAATGCGACAATGAATGTATGCATGTTCATGTGTTACTGAAAAATTGTGCTCTGCACTGGAATTTGACACAACATGGTAAACTGACTGTAACTCAATAAAAAAAGTTAAAAAAAATTGGCCAGTGGTTTCCCCAAATGCCCGTCCATGCTCCCTTCTCAGCGGCCGCACGGGACTGTGTGGTTCGCCCTGCGGTCTCCCAGCCTGCGACTCGTGTTTTCATTTTCTTTAGTGTTTTTTTGTTTCTTTTTTCTTCTGCGAAGGTTTTCACTGTGACGAAGCTCAAACGATCCGTCCTTTTTCCTTTATGGATCACGCTTTGGGTGCTGCATCTAAGAAATCCTTTCCCAGCTCAAAGTCATACGGGTTTTGTCTTACTTTTAAACACTGTCTTTAAACACTATCATTTTAATTCCCTAATAGTGCATTTCGATTAGGCGTCAGCGGTCATCTGGTGAATCAAGGATGAACTGCTATGTCGGTGACGGTGGCAGGCAGGCTTGCTGTGTGGTTCCCTCCCCGTGAGGATGCACGGTTTGAGAGTCTGAGATTTGCACTCGGAAAATGAGCTGCTGCCACCATGTTCCTGTTCTCTTCTTCATCGTCTGGGTTTGCTGGTGTTCCTCCTTCTCCGGTCCCCAGACAAACTCTGTCTTCCTCACAAAGAAACCCAGAGGGCAGACACCCTTGGAAGCTTCGCCTTCTGACCCTGACCCATCACTGCTCACCTGCTGACTTGAGGGCGTAGTCGGCCATCGGGACCTGGTCTTCTCGCAGCTTTTTAAGGACATAATCGACCAGGTATGACAGTTCCTGCACGGATTTTAAAAAGAGGTTTCTGTTAACCATCTCTGCCCACGGCTTGAGTTTGGACAACCCACTTTGCTGATTTGGACCTAAGTTCCCTAATCTGCAAACGTAACAGCGGGGAAGGTCTCCCGAGCTGCGCACTGAGCCCGGCACCCCACGCAGGTCCGTGATGTCACAGCCACAGGCCAGGGGGGACCGGTGCCTCTCGGGCAGCTGAGGTGTGCAAGCTGAGATGTGTTCTGCTGTCAGCCAAGGTCACAGAGCCAGGCTGGACCCGAGCCCCTCCCAAAGCCCTTTCTCCACACGACCCCACGGCGCCCTCACAGCGAGGCGGTCAGGCGGGGCTGCGTGTGACCCGCCGGTGCCCTCTTCTTAGTGATAACGGCTCGGACATTTCCGCAGGTATCTGGGGACCAAGGCCGTTGACAGAGAGCACGTGATTGCCTAGCCGAGGAAGCACCCATCCTTTGGGTTAATTTCGGCTTCTTCAGGACACATTCTGCTTCTAAAAAAGCAGAGGATGCGAGATTTTACTCTCCAAGCATCCCAAAAGGACAGAACGGTCTTGAATTTTGGCTGACTTAGCACTTTGTCCCGGGGGCCAGGATGAGAGGGACCCTAAGGCGGCAGCGGTCAGTGTCAGCTTCCTGTGCGCTTTAGGACGCAGAGCCTCCGGGCAGCAGAGACACTCCAGTTCGTGGAGGGAGAAGCAGCAAGGCCAGGGCGCTGGGCCTCACTGGGACGTCGCCTCCCCTGGCGCCGCTGGGGTCAGACACGCTAGTCCCAGGTCCCCGAGACAGCCATTTCTGAATGATCTTTTTTTTTTTTGGCTTTTTAATGCAAAGTGAAACAGAACCAGTTAGTGGGAAGTCTGTCGCATTGCGACTCAAAGCCTTCCCTGGGACCCAGCAGGTATGAAAAGGGGCCTTTCCCGGGGCGAGCTTTAGCAAAAGCAAGCTCGTACTGGGAGAGTTTTCAAGAGGACGCTGATCAGCCAGCTCTCCGTTTTCCCACTCAAAGGAGTCCCCCGGAGGGAGGGTGGCCTTGGGCGGAAGGACTGGGCAGGCCCCCTCCCCACCTCACCTCGTTGGCGACCTCCAAGCGGTCCTGGACTCCGGGGGGCTCTCCCTCAGCGTCCCAGCTGTGATTGCGCAGACAGGCCAGCGTCTCTCTAAGCAATGCCTTCAGAGCGTCTATTTGTTCGGTTAAAAATAGACTCTCACGGAAGTTGTTCTCCAGCATCTGGCTTTCCTTCCTGGGAATGGAGACCCCCCGAGGTGAGAGGAGGAAACCGTGGGCTCCCCGCCACTGGCGGTGCCATCAGCCCGGTGCAGACATGCTCCTGTTGGAGAAGCCATCGACTCAGCGGGGCAATGCCTGGCCGTCCAAAGCCCTGCTCTGCACCAAGACGAAAAGCAAGGACGCTCAGGGAACCAGTCCTGGGGCCGACCTGGTGCTCGGGGCGTGCCCGTGCGGGTGAGAAGGGCTCAGCCAACCTCAGGGTCCTGCATTCCCCCTCGGGGAGCTCTGCCATCCTGCCCTGATTCCCCCTCAGGGAGCTCTGCCATCCTGCCCTGAGCTGGGCTACTTCACGGAGGGGATCCTAAATCCCACCCCTCGCCTCCTTCCAGTCGGGAACCTGCGTTCTGAGTGTGGTGCAGAGCAGGGGAGTTCACACCGAACCTGGAGGTTCTGGGGTCCAGCCTCGGGCAAGGGGAGGCTGGAGGGGAGCCACCTCTCTCCTGTTTCACAGAGCGAGGATGCGAGATTTTACTTTCCAAGAGCGGGCCTTGCTCCTCCCACCATTTGAAAGTTACTGGTGGAGAGCGTTATGAAAAATGCCAAGCCAGCAGGTAATTCTTTATGTTGAAAAAAATGTAAGCATTGCTTATCTGGTCTTTTTTTTTTTTTTCTTCCTCCGATTTGTTAAACAAGCCACATTCACAACTTGGAAAGTACCAGAAAGCTTGGAGAAATGAATCTGTCAGGTTTGGATGTGTTTGTTACGGTTTTATTCCATGCAAAAACGTTGTAACAATATAATTTTGCGTCCCACTGCACTTCCCAGGTCATTAAATAAATTTGAGAATGATGTCAGTGGCTTCATCATTCTCCATCCAAAGGAGATGTGCAAACGTATTGAACCATCGGCCTGTTTCTCTCCCCTTGGTTGTTTTCCATTGTTCTAAGCACAGATAGTATTAAAACTCCCTCTCAGCGTCTATTTCCTTAAGGAATAATCCGTAGAGGTGGCAGTGAGTTGGTTTTATAATTTTACCGGAGCATTTCGGTGTTCGGACCCACACACACGAGAACATTGTACTCACTTGAGAAGCTCCAGTTTCTCTTTGGGCATTCGAAGTCTGGCCTGGGGAAGAAGAAGAAGAAAAATCACGCCAAATCCTGCCCACCAGTGGAGTTCCTTCTCCTGTTCGTAACGGGAAAAGGAACCACACGCCCACCCTGATGTTACAGGTGTGGCGGGGCCCCCCGCCGCCTCCGGCACCAGCGTCGCGCCCGGCCTTCCTGTACGGGGTTCCCTTTGAGGAGATGAGAGACACCTGGGTCTGCTCAGTGCTGAGTGACATGCTCTGTGCCCCGGAGTCCAAGATCAGGGTGTCAGAGGGCTGCACTCGTCCGGATGCTCCAGGGGAGGGAGGCACATCCTGTTTCCGGCTTCTCCCATCACCCAGGGGCTCCCGGTCTCCCCTGCGTGCGGTGCTCGCTCTGTCCTCTGGCTCATCTCCACGCGGCCTCCTCCCGGGCTGTTCAGGGTCCGTCAGGGAAACCCAGCACATGTCATCTCAAGATCCCTCGTTACAACTGCAGAGACTCTTTCCAAGTAAAGGTCCCACCTGCAGGTCAGGCGTGAAGCCATGATCTGCGCCTTTCAGCCCGCCACCAGGACCATCCACGCGTTAACTGGGAAATTCCTCTCCATTCTTCTCAGCGGGCAAATCTCCTTTGTCGCTTCAGTCTGACCTCCTGGCAGTTTGCTCTGCCCGAAACCATGCACCACGCGTCAAAACACACAGGCTGCTGTGTGATGCGTGGTGTTGGTGTCAGAATAGAACATGGTGTGGCACAGAGGAAAAATTACCCGGCTGCTTCTTTGGTCTGCTGAACAATTTAATTTTTTTTTAATAGAGTCTCCTCAACATTTTCCTTTGACAAGGATGTGGATGTGGGAGCTTATTTTTGGCAGGGAGAGATTATTTCTCATTTTTCGGTTTCTGCTGGAATAGGTCTCCTGTTGGTAGGGGCAAGCGTTCTCCATTTCTGTTTCTTTTTTCTGGTCTCACCTTGAAAGAACATAGAGAAAAATGCTCCTTCATCCATCTGCTGATGGATGAATTTGAGAGTTCCTCGAAAGCTAAACCTTTTCTGGGTTTTTTTAAGAGCATTTTTATTTGGCTCTTTCCCCGAAGGATTTCTGGTGGCTTCCACTCTAGGAACAAATAGATAAAAAAGGCAGAGGACACACAAAAAAGTGAGGAAAGGAAGTGGAGAGGAAAAAAGGGCTGGAAAAGAAGAGGTGGGCCTGAAATTCCTGGAGGTTCTGGCCCCAGCTCTGTGTTTGCTCCTCAGCATCATAACAGCCGAATGGGTGGGGTGAGGGCTGGCAGGGAGTGGGATGGTGTGAAAGTAAAAAAAAAAACCACGACAACAAGGTCCTGCTGTACAGCACAGGGAACTCTATTCAATACCTTGTTATGACCTATAATGGAAAAGAATGTGAAAAGGAACATACGTCTGTACGTGTATGACGGAGACATGATGCTGTGCGCCGGAAATTGACACACTGTTGTAAACTGACTGCATTTCAATTTTAAAAACCCACAAAGGTGTGGCGGAGCCGCTTTGGGAGCAGCTGCTGGTCCCTTCCCAGCGCTCCCAGGTAAGAACGGTGCTGGGTCCCCTAAGAACCCCCCGGGAGCCTCCCTTCCTGCAGGCTGGGCAGAGCCCCGCGGAAGGCTGGGGCGGACGTCCAGGTGATCAGAGGAGGACCGTCGGATCTGCAGCCTCCTGAGACGTGCAGGGGTCGGTGGGGCCGGGCAAAGAGACATACGGAGCGCTCCACAAGTTTGCATGTCATCCGAGCGCAGGGCCATGTTCCTCCTCTCTGGGTTGTTCTGATTTTTGTCTCTATATTGCCCAGGCGAGCTCTGTTTTGTGTGATTTTTTTTTTTTTACCTTTTTAAAGGACAACTTTATTTATTTATTTATTTACTTACATTCATTTATATATTTATTTATTTTTAATGGAGGCGCTGGGGATTGAACCCAGGACCTCGTGAATGCCAAGCACACACTCCACCCCTGAGCTACACCCTCCCCCCTGCTCTGTTCTCTGTTTAAAGCTCATGTCTCCTGAGACCCAGCATTTTATGCCTTCGAACATGGCTCCAATATTCTGAGCTGGAACAATTTTTCTTTAATTTTGTTTTTTTATTGAAGTGTAGTTGATTTACGATGTATTAGTTTCAGGTGTACGACAAAGTGATTCAGTTATATATATATATATTTTTTTCAGATGCTTTTTCATTATATGTTATTACAAGAAATTGAATGTAGTCCCCTGTGCTGTATAGTGGGTCTTTGTTGTTTATCTGTTTAATATGTAGTAATGTGTAAATGTTAATCCAAAACTCCTAATTTATCCTGCCCTTTCCCCTCTGGTAACCATAGTTTATTTTCTAGGTCTGTGAGTCTATTTTTGGTTTGTAAATAAGATTTGTATCTTTTTTTTAGATTCCACATATAAGTGATATCATATGATCTTTGTCTTTCTCTGTCTGACTTACTTCACTTAGAATGATAATCTCAGGTCTATTTATGTTGCTGCAAATGGCATTATTTTATCCTTTTTCATGGCTGAGTAGTACTCCATTGTATAAATATACCACAGCTTCTTTATCCAGTCATCTGTTGCTGGACATTTAAGTTGTTTCCATGTCTTGGCTGTTGTAAGTAGTGCTGCTCTGAACACTGGGGTGCAGGTGTCTTTTTGAATTAGGGTTCCTTCTGGATATATGCCCAGGAGTGGGATTGCTGGATATTATGGTGGTTCTATTTCTAGTTTTTTGAGGAAATTCCATACTGTTCTCCATAGTGGCTACAGCAAATTACATTCCCACCAGCAGTGCAGGAGGGCTCCCTTTCCTCCCCAAACTCTCCGAGCTGGAACAAATTTGATGTTAGTGTTAGCAAATGCTCATGTGGCCAGTAGTTATTTTGTTTGTTTGCTTAACAAAGCTCCCACAAGATACCTAATTTTAAACCCTATAATTTCCAAGTGAGTCTAGAAGATACAGTGATTGCCGACTATACCCCGGGCAGGTGACCAGGCTTGCCGCTTTATACTGGGTTTTAGATACAAACCAATTACATGTTTGGAGTGAGTAATTTGCAGTCGTTGGTCTGAAGCTGTTCATTGTAAAGGTGCTTGTCCAGCGGCAATGGCTGGGCGGGGTGTGACAACGGGACTGCGTCCTCAGTGTAAATGGTGAACCGTGCAGACCCGTGCACCCAGTCTCAGCAAAGTCGGGGTTTGAATCTCAGCTCCAGAACTTCCAGCCGTCCTGCTTGGGGGCCTCATGTAAATCCCTTGGCTTGTTCTGATCCGATAATGGCATAGGTGGTCTCCAGTCTGTGGAGGCCACGGCGTAGGGTGGACGAGGCTCTGTCTGGAGTGCTGGGTGGCTGGGGTCGGGTGCGCCAGAGAGAGGACGTCGGTGTCCAGCCTCGGTCCAAGTCCACCGAGGTCGAACAGCTTCAGGACGCAGGGGAGGCCATCCTGCCCGGAGCACCGGGCAGAAGGTGACTGGAATTCTGTTTGCCACTTCTCCGTGTGCTGGGCCCGCCCTTGGAGAGCTGTCTTTGTCTGTCCGGCTGCTGCAGGGCACCACAGACTGGCTGGTTTATTTATAAATGGCTATTTCTCACAGTCCTGGGGCTGGAAGTTCAAGATCCAGGCACCAGCAGACCTGGTGTCCATGAGAACAGCCTCCTGGCTCATCGGCACGTCTTCTACTGTGTCCTCATACGGCAGAGAGAGGGCACGGATCCCAGTCAGGAGGACCCCACCCTCGTGACCCTGTCATGTCCCAGAGGCCCCACCTCCTAGCACCTGGGGAGTAGCTCTTAACACATGAATGCTGGAGTCGGGGACGCAGACATTCACTCTATGACATTCAGTCCCTGCCCCCCAGTTAATGTCCCCTTGTAGCAAAACACATCCACTTTATCTCAGCAGCCCCCAAAGTCTTAGTTCACTCCAGCGTCAACTCCAAAGTCTAACCTCCAAATCTCATCTCAGTAGCATTCAAACCAGACACGGATGAGATCCTGGATACCACTCACCCTGAAGCCAACCTCCCCCCCCCAGCTATGAAGCCATGACGTCAAATATGTGATGGTGGGACAGCCACGGGCTGGATAATCCCATTACAAAGGGAGAAACGGGGGAGAAGAAAAGGTTGGCAAGCCCTCAGACGTTCAGCCTAAGGCAGAAGCTGCAGACGGAGGCCGTGAAGAGCCTTGGCGTCTCCTAGCCATGCCACCACTTAATAGACCTCTGGTCCCCATATTATCTCCGTGACACATCCACGTGCAAGACAAAGGTGACATATTGCAAGCTGGACTCCTTGCAGCACACCGAATTTCAAACCAGGGGCATACAGAATGATGTAACACAGCATCACCTGGTACTTGTAAAGCCTCGAGCCGTATTCCGCAATCCCGGCGTAAAATCGTCTGGATTTCGGAGGAGACTCTTTTTCTTGAAGCCGCCTGTGATTTCGAAATCCTGTGAAAGAAAAGATCGACTCTGATGAAAGAGCTTATCTGCAAACATTAACAAGGTGTTTCACTCTGATGAAACAAAGTGCATGCTTTAAATGCAGGACAAGAAACAATTGAAGTTCTCTCTCTGTGTCTGTCTAGGGCCCCCTCGCTCCCCTTCTAACGTGCAGTGTGCTTCCATGTTACTCACTAACCAGCATCGCAGAGGCTGAGGGGTCGGCTGAGATGGGGTGGGTTCTTGGGGCAGCTAAAGGCAGGATGCAGAGATCTCAGGACAGATGTGCGTCCAGGTGCCCACGTGCAGTCACAAGCAAACAGCTCCCAGAACACGCCGTGGGCGTACGTGAGTGGGGACTTTGGCTACAGAGGGCGCTGTGTTCTTCAAACCGTCCACACATTAGAGACCAACTGTCCAGGGTGCGAGGGTTTGTGCAAACTGCGTGTCCTGTCACTTTCCCAGAATCCCGTGGTTCTCCCGTGAGCCGGAGTCTCCCGCCGTCAAAAAAATCTCTCGAGCTGAGTCACCCAGCTTCAGAAAAGACAGCTGGATGTGTTGGCCATGAATGCACAAAGGGTCCTGAAGCTGATAGCAGCTTCTGTCATTTTAAATGACGATTCTAAGAGAAAAAAAGCGCTCACCACGTTTTCAACCAAGAAGCCCGTGTTACAATCAGAAGTAAAAGGCACACACACGCATAAAGTGTCAAGAATCACTTCCAGAGCTGTCTGGGTCCCTGCACTGCGACGTCTCTCCCCACAGACGCCCTGCGAAGTGGCTTTAAGGATCCGCACTTAGCATGACTTACCCAGAAAAAGAAGAGTCAATATGAGCACCGTAGTCATGACAGTCTTCCACGATCGAGGTAACCTAAAAGGCATAAGAGCAGCAGCAAAAAGAATTGAACGGTGCGTCGCCCTTACGCTGTAATTCGAACCTGAACCTCTTAACAACCAACTCGGCAAACGCGAGCCCTCCTGATGGACTGGCTGAAAGGAAGTGACCGCGTTAACCAAAGGTTAACTGCGTTTTGGGCTAAAGCCGTCGCTGTGACCACGGGGACGATTATCTCATTGCTCCTCGTTTCTGTTTTCCCAGCCGGCTGTGCAAAGGGGCTGGGGTCTTCGGCCCGTCCCAGTGGGCCGGGCTGTCTCCCTGCTCGAAATGTGTACCACGAACAGACTGCGTGGTCAGTTTGCACCCAAGGACGGACTACATGCCGCCCTGTGTCCAGGGTCCTGAGCCACAGTGCTGAACGCTGCGTTCTGCAGAGACACCCCCCCCGTGAGGTTGCAAGTCAAAGTCATAAAAGCACATTCGTCTCAAAAGGACGTCTCGTCTTTCATACTCCATGTCCCCCACCTGCAGCAATTCATCTAACCCCCCCCCCCGCTCAGAGGGAACACGGCACGTCCAAAATACCACGGTCAGGAACAACCTTCCAGGGAGAGCACTGGCAAGTGTTTTTCTCTGCAGAGGAGGGTGAACTTCCCCGTGAGCCGAGCACGTGGACACAGCGCACATATAACCTAAGGGCTTACGGGAATCACTGCCAGTTACGTACCCGTTGGAGCCAGGGTTTTCGTGCTCCAAGTGCACCGCATCCCTGCTCGCGCTGCTGGTGGCTTCCTCCGAACCACCCCGAAAAAGCCTTGCACCCCTTCTGGACTTGCGCCTGGCACGCATCCCTCCACACTGAGTAACGGACGGCTGGTGGACAGAAGAATACCGTTGGCTTCCTCTTTTCTATTCCGTGGAAAACATGATGTGATCGCCAGTGGGTTTTTTGTCTACTAACTTCTCCGGTGTTTCTCCTTCAAGGGGGAAACTGTGAGTAAGCAGACCTTGAAGCGCCTGGGGTTCTTCTGTTGCATCACATTCTGTGACACGTCATAATGGCCCATTGCCGTGTCAGCCGGTGCCTGCAGCCCCTCCTCCAGCCGGTCCATCGCCCTGAACGTGCGTGACCAGGTGTCCCCGCCGATGCTCCCTGCAGCATCTCCCAGACCTGCCACAGAACGCCAAGCTCCCCCCGGTACCTCTGTGCTGCTACAGTCACTTTGCTTCAGAACTTGGTTTAAAAAATAAAATAAAATACCACAAACGCAATGGAAGACCCCCAATTACCATTCCCCAATCACCTCTCCTTTCTTCCCCACAGACAACTACAATCTGAAAATTGACGTGTAATTCCCGCGTATTTTTTGATAGTTAACCACGTAAACGTGCATCTGTCAATAACGCCGTCATGCTTTAAATTTAACTGCTAGAACATGCCCAGTTTTCTCATACTATCTGGGCGCAGGTTGATCCAGCGCGTTTTCACTGCTGCGCCGTGTTTTATCACATAAACATCACAGCCACTCGCCCGTTCTCGTACGGATGTCAGCTTGGGTGCCTTTTGGTTTCTCAGCATTTCCGGTAACGCTCAGTGCCGTCTCTGTGCAAGTCTCCTGGCCGCCTGGAGGTGGAGTTGCTGGGCCGCGGGCGAGTGTGTTTTTTGGGGATACAAAGTCCAGGGTGACGGTGTTCCCCTCTCAGCCCTTTGAAGCTGCTGCTCGTGGTCTTGGAGTTGGACGTCGCTGGTGACACTTCGGCCTCATCTTCCCTCCTCTCTGTGCGTGCGCGCCTGTGTGGCAATTTGGGGTTTCTGTTCCCTTGGCCGGTGTTGAAGATATTCTGTTGATGTTTCGCTCAGTGCACCTCAGCGTGATAACGGTTTTTAACTTCTCCTTTAAGGAGGAAAAAGGGTCAGATACTTCAGGCGTTCGGTTTGAGGAGTCATGACTTTCTGCTGTGACAGCTCAGTCTTAAGCAAGGCAGCTCGCCTAACTCTGTTTTAAAATGTGAAATTTTTGTACCAAAGAGAAAGGCCGTTACTGCTGCAACACGCAAGGCGGGCACAAGGAAATCCCGCCTCGCACTGTGTCTGCAGAGGCCGTGATCTCGTTTTCCCAGCGAGGCTGGAAACCCAAATTGCTAAGTCATATTGACACACAGAAATATGGGTCAAAAAAGAAGAGATTGTCTTGAAATAATTAGATGGTCATCAAAGAGACAACACAAAATTTACAAAGCCAGCCACCTCCCGTCTGTGAAAACCTGGTCCAAAGAATACGCAGTACAGGGTAGAAGACTGGGTTCCTGGGGGCGATGGTTAGGGAAGAACCTTGAACTTGACCTTGCACAGCTCCCTGGGGCTGGAATACCCAACAAGGCTGGGAAAGATGTGTCCCGGGAGTGTAGACATGTCAGCTTCAGTCGACAGACTGCGGGGGCACCGCAAGAGGCAGAGGCAGGAAGGAAGGGCTCGAGGACTTTGAAAAATCAGAATTTATACTCAGATACATTTCTTCCTCTTCACTAAATGCTCCCAAGCAGGAAATATCTACATAAGGTGTAATGAGATACAAATCTGCAAGCTATCTGTGCATGTGTAACATATACATGTATTTTGTATAAACAGCTACACATGAACAAACGGTTGATTCTCTTTGAACAATCTGCTGAATGAAACTGTGCATGAAGTGAGATGGTATGTGAGGAGATTTTGGATCTTTCCAAACATTCAGGGACAGAAAGACCGTTACGTGATAAAGTGTAGGAAATAAACACTGAGAAGTTTTCATTTTAAATAGATGGCTCTTGGAGACAGACTCACAGACACAGAAAAGCTACCATGGCCAAGTTACCATCAAATGGGTTTCCTTAAAAAAAAAAGATTGTTTTTGTGCTGTGTTTGCAGGCTCACGGGATCTCTCCTGGATTCGTGTTTGATCTGACATCTGCAACTACCGGGGATTTCAATCACACTCCGAAAGTCAGAACTGTATTCTGAGGAGGGACCGCTCTCCATTATAACTCAGATTATGACTTCGGTTGGTAAGGGACGTTGTCCACTCGGGTCAGTTCTGTACTTTTCTGTGCACCCAGCTCAGAAGCAGAAAAAGAGACTCTTGAGTCGTGACCGTGATAAACTCTTTTCAAAACCCGCCTTCTCTTGGCATGCTCTCCTCCGAGAAAATGAGACCGCGACTCGTTTAAGGGGAAGCCCTGTTGTTCTTGCGGACTGTTTATGTGGCTCTGTACACGGTGGGACAGATATCACATCCGACATTGCAAAGTGAGGCCCTGATTACGTCCCAGACGGCGCCAGCTGAGGGTCCCGGAAAGTCCTCCCAACATGAAACAAGAGCTCCACAGAGTCAGGGTTGACGTCCGGCCCTGGAGTGACCTCCTCTTCACGCATTCCTGCATCGCCTGTCTGCTGCTAAATGCCTAAGGCTTTGCTTGTGTAGCAGAAGCAGCACCTTGTTTAACTGAGGCTGACAAATGACCACCTTTTAAAACGTCCTGATTTTTCTTTTTCAGTGAAAGGAAACCGGAGGTCCACACTGCCGTCTGGCTGGTTGCATCCGCAGGATTTCTGCCGATGTTCTCTGTCGTGGGGGAGCCTGTCCACGTCGCCCGGGTCCACGCCGGCTCGCCCTCTCCGGGGCTGGGCCGGGGCAGCTCGGTGGTCCCCGGGGGGCCCAGGGCCCAGGG